TGCATGGGGCAATAGCTGCACGCCGCAGGATGGCCACTTCTTCTGTCGACGCTCGACTTCTCCCGCTAGCAGACTTGGTCCCCGCCAGTTCAGTGCAGGTCGCGGTTTCTCGTGGGAGCGCAATTTGCATTGCCTGTGCTGCCTCGGTGGTGCATGGCCTCCGGGCTTTGGCGATTCCGATTCATTGGGCCAGTCACAGTTGTGGAATGGTACATGTGATTGCACGGTGTATTTCCAGTTGTTGTTTGCGCACCTTCAGGCTGTGCGATTGTCATCGGTGAGATGTTTTATGACCACGACGAGCCGGCATTGACGTCAGGTGTCCTTCGTTCCATCTGCGAAAGTTGTGCTTTCGGCGTGTGATCCTATTCGATGGCTACACCCTGCTTACGTTGACACCTTGAATGGCCCCCTGACAAGGGGGGGGGGGGGCGTGCTGGCACGTGGTGCAGGCATGCAGGTGGCAAAGCCGACCCACCCCGTGTCGTGTCGATGAGCATCTGAGGCACAAGTGGTACAAGTTGAGCCGTGGACGAGCATATTTCACAATTTTCACAGAGGGTGTCGCTGGACTATCGGAAGCCGAGCGAGCCTCTACAGGTTTGTGGCAAAGTGAAACTTCAGGCGCACATGCTTCATCGAGACTCTGTAGATTAGAGATTTGCCCGCACCGGTGGCCACAGGGCTGCAGATCGGCAGGTTGACGCGCAGCTGACACGGTAACATCATCACCTGACACCAGACAGGCTTGCGACCGAGTTGCTTCCTTTTTGCATCTGAGGTTTGATGGCAAGAAATGGAACAGACCCAAAGCCCCGTCAAAGGAGCTGAGCCTGGCTTGGATTTTGTGCTTGTACTCTGCCCAGGCCTTTTGCTCCCGACATCGCTTTCGAGAGACGGAATGTCAGAGCCAAGGCGAGAGTCAGGAGTCAGGACATGGACACATCAGGGCATGTCAGGGCCAGGATGGTTCCCGGTCTCTCCTCGGCGCCCTCTGCAGGTCGCTCTCCCAGACACCCTGGAGCTTTGCACCCGTCAAGAACGTGAAACGATCCAGGTCCTGGGCGCCTGTTGTCAGCGGGGAAGTACAAAGCCTACCCTTGCAAACAAACTATAGCCTCCCATGATTTCGGTGTGAGTAGTAGTGGTCCACTTGTGCATGTCATGCGAAGCAGGCCGACGTTTGGATTTAGTGCTTACGGTCCACCGGGTTCACCAGCAGCGAGAAGGAGGATTGGAAGACCGGTCATAGTCTGCCCCTCGCGGCTTCAACCAAATCGAGGTGAAGGCCTTTGCACCGCAGATTTTAGCCAAGAATCGTGTATTCATTGCTGAATGGTCGAAGTTTGAACGCTGGGCACCTGGTGGAAGACATGAACGAGTGTCTGATCGCCATGAAAGCAGATGCTGTGGTCTCTTGTAGCATGGGAGTGGGCATGAAAAAAGTGGAGCGCTCGGGAGCCAATCCACCGCCCCACACATGAATACCTCAGGGGGCTGTCGCCGCCTGCAGCCTGGCGCGCCCCGAACCGACAAACACGGAGCAGCCACGAGCAGGGGGTCCGGTGCATTGCGGGTAGGGGCAGGGGGGCCTCGAGGGCAGGTGGGAGGTGGAGGGGTAGGGGGCTAATGCCCTTAGTCCCCAAACAGGAACCGTTTAGGGGTCTTTTCTCAGAGAAAAAGGTGTCACGTGCTTGGCTAGATTGGTGTCACGCAGTTGGGCCCGTGGTCTCCCATGGACTCCGATCCCCATGGTCTACGTGGTTGGGAGGGTGTCACGCGGTTTGGGTCCGTGGTCTCCCATGGCCCAACTAAGCCCGGATCCCCGGCCAACTTGCTTGGGTGCTATTTGAGTACGCTCGGCCGCCCAGGATGGATGCTGGTTGAGCACGGTAGGCCCCAAAAGTGCTATTTGAGGACTCTCAGTCCCGCAAATCACGATGCTGGCGGTCCCCAAAATTTGGGTCTGTTGGAATACGCTCGGTCCCCAAGAAGCAGGATGCTAGTTGAGCATGCTCAGTCTTTTCGTGCACAGAAGAACCGGCCAAGATGCCTCGGTGAAAAACTTGAAACCTCGCACACTGGGCCTTTCAAGCATGTTCTGGTTCTCGGGCTTTCAGGCCGCCCTAACCCTACGAGCACGAAGGGCGGGGACATGCGACTAACTTCTAGGGCCCTTTGTGACAAACTTTAGGGGATATGTCTTTACTTCGAGTGGTCTGAAAGTGAAAACGTTAGGAAACACGTAGGATGTTTTTGCGCTTCTATAGAACTTTTCGCGGAGCAAGGCAGGCTTTGAGCCAACTTTTCTGCTCTGCGAAAAGGTTTCGCAGCCCCCAAACAAGGTGTTTAAGTAAGCAGAGATGTTTCTCCCTTGTATTCTGGGTGGCCGAATCATGGCAAAAACATCCCATGTTTTTCTAACGTTTGCACTTTCAGAACGCTGCAGAAGCAAAACCGGTTTGAACAAATCCCGTCGAGGTTTGTCGTATGTCCCCTCCCTTCGTGCCAGGGTTTGGTGAGTGCCCCAGAAGTTTGTCGCATGTCCCTTCGTGCTCGTAGGGTGAGGGCCCTAAAGGTTAATGTAACCGTTTGCAAGTGCAGGCGGGTTCTGAGGCCATGATTACGGTACCAGGACAGTCTTTCGGAACCGTTTTAAAATGCAAGCGGTCTAAAGGGCTACGATTGCTTGTGGGCGCAGAATGCTAGCCCTGAAAACGAGTTTCTTAGCGTGTTGAAACACCATAGATGTTTCCCCTGCGACCAAATAGCTCGCGCCATGGCGCGAGCTATTTGAGCGCGAAGGGAGGCGACGTGCGACAAACTTCTAAGGGTTATGTTTTTACCTCTACAGTGTTGCGAAAGTGAAAACGTTAGGAAGACATGGGATGTTGTTGTCCTTTCTATAGAACCTTTTCGCATAGCCCTCAGGGTTTTTACCCAACTCTTCTTGCTCTGCGAAAAGGTGTCACAGCCCCTAAACAAAGGTGGTTAAAGTAAACAGAGATGTTTATCCCTTGTTCTGGTAACGTAATCGTGGCTCCATAGGGTGTGCTAGCGCAAAAACGTCCTGTGTTTTTTCCTAACGGTTGTTGCACTTTCAGAACACTGACGAAGTGAAGAACATATCCCTTGTCCAGCAAGTGTGGAAGGTTTTGTCTCAGTCTCGTGGCCCTGCCGATGCGGCTGCTTCTCAGACCTTTGTCTTCGCGCCGCCCTCAGAAGTAGGAAGGCATCGATATTAAGTTTCAGGACGTTCAGTGGGGGATCTATCCCTCAGAGGTTTGTCGCATGTCCCCTCCTTCGTTCTAGGGTGTGGTGAGCGATTTAAAGTAAAAGTTTGTCACATGTCGCTTCGTGCTCGTAGGGTGAGAGACCAGTGAGGGCCAAAGAAGGCATGCGGGTTATGGGGCCCAGGCTTTTGGAACCGTTATGAAATGCAGGCGGGCTATGGGGCCACGAGTACGCAACCAGCACAGGCTTCTGGGCGCAGAACGCTAGCCTTGTTCCATAAAGTGTTTCCCCTGCGACCAGATAGCTCACGCCATGGCGTGGGCTATTTGGGGGTTTGTTGTAGCGAAAGCTATCCCGCGCATGTCCGAGAACTGCGCCCGTGAACCCTATAAACCCTACAACCCTCAACCCTTAACCCATGAACCTCCGAGCAGAGCTTCAACCTCTCACCACCGAGCTCATGCCTCGGGGTAGTGTCACAGTCCCATTGTCCTTGCCCTTAAAGGAGTACCCCTTATACACCGCTTGGATACCGTGCACAAACTAAGGGCCCATACATCAGAGCCCTGGAAAGGAAGGTAAGGGACCATATGAAGGGCCCATTTAGTTTCCCTAAGATCATATGGTCAATTCTCTCAATCAGGGTCCCTCTCTGGGTACCCTAAATAATTGGGGGCGCCTGATAACAAGGACCCCCCCCCCCCCCCAAAAAAAAGGGACCTCACAAACCCTTCGAACGCAAAGGGAGGCACATACGACAAACCTCTAAGGGATGTGTGTTTACTTCTACAGTGTTCTAAATCCCAAAGCTTGGGTGCTGTTTGAGCACGCTCGGCCCCAAAATGCAGGATGCTAGTTGAACACGCTCAGTCCCCAAAACTTCGGGGTTCTGTCTGAATACCATCGGTCCCGCAAAGCAGGATGCTAGTTGAACACGCTCGGTCCCAGTCCCCAAAACTTGGGCGCTGTTTGAATAGGCTCGGTCACCGAAAAGCAGGATGCTAGTTGGGTCCCCAAAATTTGGGTGCTATTTGAGTACGCTCGGTCCCGCAAAGCAGGATGCTAGTTGAACACTCTCGGTCCCTATTTGAGTATGCTCGGTCTGTGGAAGTCGAAACATATCCCTTCGAGGTTTGTCGTAGGGTTTGGTGAGGGCACTCGACGTTTGTCGTATGTCCTCACCCTTCGCACTCGTAGGGTGACGTCGTAAGCAACTAGCACCATTTCTGCGCCCTGATGGCCAAACAGCTCGCGCCATGGCACGAGATATTTGGTCACCGGGGAAACATCTATGGTGTTTCAACATGTTAAAACACATTTTCAGGCTAGGGGCTCTGCGCCCACAAGCCTGTGCTGTAGCGTAATCGTGGCCCTATAGCCCGCCTGCATTTTGAAACGGTGAAAAAAGCCCGTGCTGGTAACGTAATCGTGGCCCATAACTGCCTGCACTTTCAAACGGTTATATTGACCTCCAGGGCCCTCACCCTCCAAGTGCGAAGCGACAAACTTCTTGGGCCCTAACTTGTGGTTCTGTTGCAACATTTTGACAAGTAAATTCCCTGCAAGGAGTTCATGGGCTCTGTGGCTCTGTTGCAACATCTTGACAAGCAAATTGCCTTCAAGGTGCCCGTGGGCTCTGTGGTTCTGTTGCAACATCTGGACAAGGAAATTCGCTTCAAGGTGTCCACGGGAATTTGCTTGTCAAGATGTTGCAACAGAACCACAGAGCCCACGGACACGTTGAAGGGAATTTCTTTGTCAAGATGTTACAACAGAACCACAAAGCCCACGGACACCATGAAGGAAATTTCGTTGTCAAGATGCTGCAACAGAACCACAGAGCCCACGGACACCTTGAAGGGAATGTCCATGTCAAGATGTTGCAACCGAGCCACAGAGCCCACGGAAACCTCAAAGAGAATTTCTTTAACAAGATGTTGCAACAGTACTAGAAAGCCCACGGACACCTTGAAGCGAATTTCCTTATCAAGATGTGGCAACAGCCACAGAACCCACAAATATTTTGAAGGGAATCCTTGTCAAGATACTATAACAGAACGATAGGGGCCACGGAAACCTTGAAGGGAGTTTCTTTGTCAAGATGTTACGCAGAACTAAAGAGCCCACGGACACCTTGAAGGGAATTTCCTTGTCAAGATGTTGCAACAGAACCAGAGGGCCCACGGACACCTTGAAGGGAATCACTTTGTAAAGATGTTGCAACAGAACCACAGAGCCCACGGACACCGTGAACGGAATCTCCTTGTCAAGATGATGTAATAGAACTACAAAGCCCACAGACACCTTGAAGGGAATTTTCTTGTCAAGATATTGCAACAGAACCACAGAGCCCGCGAACATTTTGAAGAGAATTTCCTTGTCAAGATATTGTAACAGAACCACAGAGCCCATGGACACGTTGAAAGGAATTTCTTTGTCAAGATGTTGCAAGAGAACCACAGAGCCCAGGGAGGCCATGAAGGAAAAATCCTTGTCAAGATGCTGCAATAGAACCATAGAGCCCAAGGACACTTGAAGGGAATGTCTACATCAAGATCTTGCAACCGAACCGCAGCGCCCATGGACACCTTAAAGGAAATTTCCTTGTCAAGACGGACACCTTGAACGGAATTTCCTTGTCCAGATTTTGCAACAGAACCACAGAACCCACGGATACCTTGAAGGGAATTTCCTTGTCAGGATGATGTTGCAATAGAACCACAGAGCCCACGGACACATTGAAGGGAAGCTTCTTGTGAAGATGTTGCAACAAAACCACGGAGCCCACGGACACCTTGAAGGGAATTTCCTTGTCAAGATGTTGCAACAACAACAGAGCCCACGGACAACTTGAAGGTAATTTCCTTGTCAAGATGATCCATAGAACCACAGAGCCCGCGGACACCTAGAAGGGAGCTTTCTCGTCAAGATGTTGCAGCAGAACCACAGAACCTACGGACACCTTACCTTGAAGGGCATTTGCTTGTCAAGATGTTACAATAGAACCATAGGGCCCAACGATGAAGGGAATCTCCTTGTCAAGATGTTGCAACAGAACCAAAGGGCCTTGAAGGGAATTTCCTTGTCAAGATGTTGCAACAGAACCACAGAGCCCACGGACACCTTAAAGGGAATTTCCTTGTCAAGATGTTGCCACAGAACCAAAGAGCCTACGGACACCTTGAAGGGCATTTCCTTGTCAAGATGTTGCAGCAGAACCACAGAGCCCACAAACACCTTGCAGGGAATTTGCTTGTCAAAATGTTGCAGCAGAACCACAGAGCCCACGGACACATTGAAGGGAATTTCCTTGTCAAGATGTGCAACAGAACCACAGAGCCCACGGACACTTTGAAGGGAATTTCCTTGTCAAGACGTGCAACAGAACGGGAGGGTGTCACGTGGTTTGGGTCCGTGGTCTCCCATGGCCCAACTGAGCCCGGATCCCCGGCCAACTTGCTTGGGTGCTATTTGAGTACGCTCGGCCGCCCAGGATGGATGCTGGTTGAGCACGGTAGGCCCCAAAAGTGCTATTTGAGGACTCTCAGTCCCCCAAATCACGATGCTGGCGGTCCCCAAAATTTGGGTCTGTTGGAATAAGCTCGGTCCCCAAGAAACCAAGATGCCTCGGTGAAAAACTTGAAACCTTGCACACGGGGCCTTTCAAGCATGTTCTGGTTGTCGGGCTTTCAGGCCGCCTAGCCTCCAGTGGCCCTGACCCTACGAGCACGAAGGGCGGGGACATGCGACTAACTTCTAGGGTCCTTTGTGAAAACTTTTATGGGAAATGTCTTTACTTCGAGTGGTCTGAAAGTGAAACGTTAGGAAACACACAGGATGGCTTTGCGCGTCAATAGAACATTTCGCAGAGCAAGGCAGGCTTTGAGCCAACTTTTTCTTGCTCTGCGAAAAAGTTTCGCAGCCCCCAAACAAGGTGTTTAAGTATGCAGAGATGTTTCTCCCTTGTATTCTGGGTGGCCTAATCATGGCAAAAACATCCCATGTTTTTTCAACGTTTGCACTTTCAGAACGCTGCAGAAGCAAAACCGGTCTGAACAAATCCCTTCAAGGTTTGTCGTATGTCCCCTCCCTTCGTGCCAAGGCTTGGTGAGGACCCCAGAAGTTTGTCGCATGTCCCTTCGTGCTCGTAGGGGGTGAGGGCCCTAAAGGTTAATGTAACCGTTTGCAAGTGCAGGCGGGTTCTGAGGCCATGATTACGGTACAAGGACAGTCTTTCGGAACCGTTTTCAAATGCAAAGCACCTGTTGTTGCAACTTGGGTGACGGATTGTGACGACCTCTGAACTCCTTCTTTTGGCCTTCTCTGATGCGCAGGCTTGTGGCAGGTACCCGGCTGTACAGGGTCCTGTGCCTGTAAAGGAAACACACACGCCGAGCTACGAAACTCACTTCTCATGATTTCCCTACACCTCAGGAGCGATAGATGCGCACGGTCGAGGAGGCTTCATTCCGGCACATTGGACACAGCGTGGTCCTCGGCATTTCACCGCTCAACTTCATGGACCATCTCTCACCGTCACTCCAGAGCGGGTAGTAGTCCTGATCGGAAAAGCCTAAACTTTAAACACTGAACTAAACCCGAAGCCGCTAGAAAACACAGCAGAATGTTTCCTCAGGTCCCGTGCTTTCCGATGTCTGACAAGTTGTTCCATTCACTGTACATAGAGCCACGCTCTAAGACCTTTAAGAGGAAGAAGGATCAACACATCGTACATCGACGCTGAGTACTTAAACCAATGGAATGAGGCAGGGGGGGCAGGGGGGGCAGGGGGGGCAGACCTGAAAAGACCTTGAAGGCCAGGCCACTGGCCCCTCATGGCATCGGCGCATCTCTGGCACAGACAAAGGTGACCGCCTTGAGGCTTCGACAGAGAACTCACTACGGAGCCTTAACAGAGCGCGGAAGAGCAGAGCCGAGCAGAGCCGAGCAGAGCCGAGCAGAACCGAGAGCACGCACAAAAAAGAGAGATCCCCAATTCAAAGCACTTGGGCGCGTCGCATGGCACCACTGCCGTGTCCGCAGGCCTCTCCAAGCAGACCTCAAGGCAAGCTCAAGCTCCCCTCCCCAAATGCTCCAGGCATCCAGTTGAGGCACCTCCCCAGCATTCCGAAGCATTCCCGAGATTGCACTTGCAGCACTAGCAGTAGTATGCTTCTATGCCGCCGGGTGACAACACAGGCACCATCCTCCTGCACTGGACCGGGATCGACGGCGGGGTCCTTCTTCGAAATATGGTTTGCACACGTGCCGACAACCCTCCGAGCTTCACTTAACATCTTTTAGGCCCCTAGGCCTCGCCCTGCGCGGAGTGCACGGCCTGCGCTGCCGCTTGCGGCCCTTCGGTCAGCAACGTCAGGTCTTCTGCGGGCGGCGCAGACGGAGGCGGCAGGTCCGGGAAAGCCTCTCGCATCGCACATGGCTACAGTCAGCTGCAGCATGTGGCAGATTGTGGCAGCATGTTCAGAGTTAACAGTATCTGTATTTCACATGCGGCACTTGCTGACGATTTGCGAAACGATGCCGCGCGGCTGGATGCTGCGACGCAACGGTTGCAACGCCCCTGAACTTCCAGCAAAACGCCAGTACTTGCGGACTTCCGCAAGGACAGCCGCCGCACGACTTCAAGAGGTTACCACACCACTCTAAACTTCTGCTATGCGTTCGGAAACACGCACAAGAAAAACCCGTCTGAAAGACCCTAGCACTCTCACTACAGTAACCCATTCTGACTTGCCACCTTGGTATCTATCAAATTGTCGGGATGACGATTTGACGGGTGGAAAGGAGCAAGAAAGCCGTCCTGCAGCACCAGTTAACAACCCTATAGTTCATGGGATTTCGAAGCGCTTAAGAAGGTTGCCTGGGTCGCTGATTCTTGTCCAGGAAGTTCAGTTCAATGTCACGGGCCGGACGAGCGCGGAGAGCAGGAAGAAACACACCGGCGGAGAGCAAAACACGAGAAATGGATGAGCAAATGAACACTGTGGAGCTCAAGATTGAGAATCCGTGAGAAAGATGACGTCAAGCGGCACCTCGTGTGGCAATGGCGCGGTCTCGTGGCGGTACAAATGCTGCACGGAGAGAGCAGGGCATGGAAGTCAATACGGAGGCTTCTGTAAGGAAGCTTCAAGACTCTGAGAGAACTTGGATCTACGCGGTGGGGCGTCCTTACTGCGTTTGATATCAGCCTGGTGTCCTAGTCTTTTCATCTTTTGTTCGTGGTATCACATGACTTCGCACGTTGCCTTCCAGATGCCACACGCTAAATCTGGAACGACGGGGTGGAGAACTTAAGGAACTCAAGAAGAATCTGCTCAACGAGAAGATTTTTCGGAAGTACTTGGCGGAGTCGCTCCACAGAAGGACACGAGTTTTAAGGGCGACACTCACATCACTCAACTGGCTGTGGATAGACTCTGAAGACTCTGATGGACTTGATGGGGCGGCTACACGCTGGGGCCTCTTCAGCCAGAGCCGCGGTGTTTCCCGCCAAGAGAGCGTCGTAGGCTTCTTTCAACACCAATGCCCTGGCAACAAGTGCAGAGTAAGTGGAGAGTCACGGACTATCACACTTCGCCGACGTCAAAGTGGCAAAAGCCGGAGCTGGCGTGCTGCGAAGATCTGCGACTTCGAAGAGCCTGGAACTTAGAAGTGGGTTCAGCAAGACCCGCTTCACCAGCGTGCTCTCTTCCGCCGTGGAGAACCTGTGTGACAGGTGTGCCAGGTATGCGATGTGAGAACCACAGGCATATCCGGTATGACCACAAATCCTACGGCATCTTTTTTCCAGTGATAGACAGCGATAGAACTCCGAGGGGCCGCACTGCCAAGCCGACTTCGCGGTCTCGGTCCTGCAGAGAGGGAAAAAACAACGTGTAGCCCTTCAGACCTGCCGCTGCGCCGCTGGGCCTACGACATGCTGTACAGACGCCACGTTGAGAGACGGAGAGCGTTCGACACCAAAAGCATGGTGTTTAAGACGAAGTCGCGCGACGACACCAGGAGTCCAAGAATCTGAGAGGCCGATTTTGGACAGACAAGAGATAAAAGTGGGATTTCTCCGTGACCGGCGCGGGAGGTTTCCTGAATTCCTGAATCTTTGACCCTCCCTTGACAACCCGACCGCGGGCGAGAAAGAACAAACAGCACGCCACGTGTGCACGCGCAGCTGAAGGACGTCCAGGGTCTTTTATAAAACGTTGAAAAAAAAACTCCTGATTTGGCAGCCTCTGAATGAAGAAGCACCTCCGAGATCCTCTGAGCCTCAGGTGAAGACCCTCTGATGGCCCCACGCGCCTGCACTGACACGGAGAGGCCGAAGGGGCGAGACGAGGCGAGGCCCAGACCTCTCAAGGAACAAAAAATAGACCCTAAATGAAAACGAGAGAGACTTGAGAGAGAGAGAGAGACAGAGAGAGAGGGAGAGAGAGAAAGAGAAAGAGAAACAGAGAGAGAAAGAGAGAGACTCTTGCGTTGGAGAAGGAGGCAAACACCAAGGCAGGGCCTCCGAGCGCGCCCTGCAGCCAGCCGCCTAGGGAGTCTTCCATCTTCCACTCAAGAGAATCTTCATTTCATATGATTCATCTGTGTTTCCTACACGAATAACGAACTGAATAGGGCTGCATACAGAGGCACGAGAAATGAAAATGGCTGCTTTCTTTTGAAAGACAAATTAAGAAGACGGGGGTTTGAGATTCGCGAAGGCGCGCACCCCGCCCCCTGCCTCGGGTGCTCCAGGCCGAATCTTCCAGTGGCTTCACGGAGATGCACCTGGGGTCCTGCGGCAAGGACAGCACCGCCGTCGGCACGGCGTCGGGAACGCCCTGGGAGGAGAGTGCCGCGCCATCTCCATCTCTTGCTTGCGCAAATTCAAAAACACAGCGCTACACGATTCGAGATTGAGAGCGCTTGTGCCAATCCTCGTCCTGCCTGGTAGCAGTCGTAGACAGCCAATTGCAAGCTCGTGGGCACGGCAAGGAGGGTTTCACAGTGACGGCCTAAGCTCCGATGCACTTTGCCCTTAGTTCATGACTCCAGTTGTGGTCTTGGGGGCCCAAGGCCAGACAACGGGAAGTTTCCATTGGGCCGTAGATTCCACGCGGAGCACAGCAAGCAAGGCAAAGTTTTTAGATGACTTTGGGTTTAGCACTTAGCACAACGTCACAACGTGCAGCCAGTCCAATGAAAGCAAGCTGCAGGGGAAGCTCTCCACAAAGTCGGGAACAGCGTTTGATTTGCCACACCGTGGACAAGCGTGTGAGAAAGAAGGTCCAGAGATGTGGTCTCTCACCAGAGTCTGGGCCTGCTTGAAGGCGTTGTGAACGCTGCCCCTGGCGATGAAGCTGGGGCCAGTGTTGTGTCGGCGATCGCGGAGAACCTTCAACCACCAGACCTCTATATCACCTACCTGTGCCCTCTACCCGGACTCTGCCACCAACAGCAAGACTAGAAAGCCCTCAAAAGCCCTCTCTTTCTCCGTCTCTCGACTTAAGTGTTTTCGTCCAGGGCGCCACAAGCCATTTCGAGGCCCAGGTGGGGATGACCAGCAATTTGGGCTGGTACGCGTCCACAGGGCCTTGCCACAGGGCCGCGGACCCCTCCAGTGCACGGACGCAGCCGCTGCAGCGCGCACCACGTGCCACGTCCAGGGCTGTGCTCCTTCGGAAACGATGCTCGAAATGCGCGATTATATGCTCTATGCGCAACACATATGCACCGTAGCAACCAGACTTCCGTCTCTCCCGCTATTTGGGCTTCTACAGTTGCTTGTACGGGTCCCGAGCTCTGTGGAAGAAAAGGGGTCTGCACGTTGTCGCAGCAGCTCTTGCACGCAGGCCGTGCAATTCGGCGCCAAGAGGGCGCGGGAGGCACAGTGGAGGGGCGTCCGCTGCTTGGAGTCCCGTACGTTGACATCCGCACGCAGGTCCAGCAGAAAGCGCACGATGTCAATGTGCCCGTTACCGGCGGCGACGTGCAGTGCGGCCAAGCCAGATGAGGACAACCCGTCAAGGACCTTTGGCACGGAGGCCTCGGAAGTCTCACCTCAAAGCCGAATGAAGCTCGACTCTCTGTTGAGGATTTGCGGCACTCCCCAAACAAAAACAGTTTGTCTTTCCCTGTTTCTCTTCCCTGGGGAACTTTGGTGCCGGCGTGGAAAGTCCTTAGACATGCTGTCCCTCACCCTCGTCGGTAGCTGCCCGTCAGCTTGCGTTCGCCCTTCCCTTCTGCTTTGGCCCGGCCAGGGCTTCGTGCGGTGAGAGATGTGCCGTGTAAGTGCCGCAGTAAGAACAGAGCAGTGACATCCACTCTCTTAAGTTTAAACCATCCTGTTGGCCAAACAGTGAGTTGCCTTTAAGCTTCTTGCGCCTTTGATCTCTCACTCTCTCTCTCTCTCTCCCTCTCTCTGTCTCTCACTCACTCTTCTGGTAGAAAGTCTCAGGGGAGGTGCCTTGAGGGAGGGCACCGAGCAGGCGCTGGCAGGCTGCCAGATCGCCCCGCTGCACCGCCTGGCACAGGTCCTCGAACAGACGCAAGGAGTAAAGATGCTAACTGAGAAAGCCCAATCCAGCTAGATGAGAGAGAAAGACTTTTTTGAAGACTTCAACCCCATCCTCTCCTCACTTGCTTGCTTTGCAGCTGAGCTGCCCATGGCCAGACCAATGCTGGCGCTCCAAGAGCCAACACATGCACTATATGCCCAGTGCGCGAATCTTGATGTAGATCGCAAGGAATCGTGAAGGCATGTACTGAGAGCTCTACTTTTCCCGGTGTTTCGTCCAAAGAGCAGACTTCACCAGCCCGCCCACCTTCCCTCTAGAGCCACTCCTCAACCTGCAATTCATCTACAACAGTTCGTGGATCAAGTCATGGCTTAGTAGCAACTGTGAGCGGTCTCAAATCAAGCAATGCCGTCAGAGCGTACGTACAACACTCGGTTTGTCGCAGGCAAGCAGCAATGTGTTTTCAGAGCATGATGTGAACGTATTGCGCAGCGATGCGAGCGATCTAGCCGCACACCGAAGGGAAAAGAAGGGGTTCGTGTGTTTGAGAGATAAGAAGGATGGTAGAATTCGTTTGCTGTCACAAGCTGGCATGCTCGAAACGCGCATCCGCCAGGACTCGACAGCAGAGCGTTCGCTCCAGAATGGGCAACGCTTACTTACACCCGGGCAGTCGCCCTTCGCAGTGGCATGCAGCAGCTGAAAAAAGGGGTGCGCTCAGGTGTGCTCTGTCGCTTTGGGTCTTTTGCTGTGGCAGCTTTGCGACATGAAGCAAAATGTTGCAGAACTGGAGAAACTTTTCCCCCGCGCAATACTGCGGCATGAAGACCTTCGTTTCGAAGGCTTCCGGTCAGAAGGCTGCAACACCACGAGAAGCCGCAGAGCTTGACAAGGCCTGCCAGGCAACATCGAAGCCCCTTCAGACCGCCTGTGCATCCCGAAGCCGCAGCTTCTCAAGCACTTTTGCTGGCAGTTAGGTCCTTCTTGAGCCTTCACCGGTCTCTTCAACAACAACATGAAAGAATGGTTCGGCCTGAATCGCTCTACAATGATTCTGATGGAAGCAGTTCCGACTGACCCTGCTAAGCCCTGACCCAAGCATGGTCACCCAGCGTTGCGAAGGAAATGCCCGTCTCCTTCAGAATCCCTGGACCCTACACCGCAGATGTGGAATTCAGGGTAGCAGGCTCACAGTGATCGCCTCAGGCCCCAGGCCGAAACAGTCGAGCTAAAGGGGTAGGGCTTTGAGCTGCCAACTTGAAGGGTTTGTCCCCTGAACACTTTTCGCCCCAGAATGCTGAGAACCCGCCTTTACCGAAGATGGTAGCTCACAGCTTGAACCCGCCCGAACGCCCGATCATCCAAAAATCAAAAAGAAAGGACACCAAAGGAACACCAGGCACGCGAATGAAAGTATGAAAGAAGTGAATGAGAACCCCCGACATCTGGACCTGGGCTAGAGAGCGGTTGGTAAAACAGTGCCAAGCATCAGCAAGACATCCTTTTGACCCGTTCACATGCTGGGTTCCTACCCTTGACCGTACAACCTGTCCCATCTGTGGTGACGGCCTGGGCTATAGATAGCGTGCACGCTCTGGTCCTGGATGGTGTTCGCTGGAAAGGACAGTGAGTGAAGGAGTAAATGAGGGTGGTGGGACATGGGGTTCTTTGTCCTTCACTCACAGACTCAAAGGTGGGATGTGTGGCTATCCGGTCGAGACTTGGAGAACATGGCGAGCACGATAAATTCAAAAAAATCTTTGTCGTTCGCCCGCATCCAGTATCCTGTTAGGTTGAGGAGTGTAAGTTGAGGTGAGCTTCATGGGAAGCGGCCCCATGCCTCACGCATGGCGGCTTCAAACGACACGCTAACGCAGTGCCGGCTGTCAATTCCATTGGAACAGCACAATGCTTGGGCTGCTGCCCACCAGTCAGCTTGGGCCGCCTTGTTGCAAAAAACAACCTGAGGCGGGTAGGCTCGTACATTGCATGCGCTTTTGTGGACCGTCCATTGCCCTACGTCTGGCCTGCATTACTCCCTCCCCTCCAGCATTGGCACATGTACGTTGCTACCCCACACCTTGCATGATTGCCTACGGTTCGATCTTACAACTGCTAGTGCAATGCGCTAGAACAATCGTCATGTATACTACTCCGCTGCATCTGAAAACTACTGTCCCTTTCCAGGACGAAACTATGGCAGTTTCCATACATGTACCCGCAGATACCGCCCCTTAACGTTGCACTTGCGATTGCAGGAATCCCACATGCAAGAAGGGCCCCTAGCCATGGAAACCTCTATCTTATCAGCCATAGCTACGTATGATTGCACCACGGCATAGTAGCTTCCATTTCTTTTCCATCTAACCCCAGTATAGTGTTTCATTGTCTAAGCTAAGACTGAAGGCTGGACTCCTCTGCAGATTGTGGGGAAGGGGGTCATGAGGGTACGCGAGAAATCCCCACAAAACAATACTTACTGAGGGTTCGTAGGGATTTTGGGAAAATTTTCCCTACTGACCACCAGTAAGGTCAGGTAAGATTCCGCAGCAAGATACGGACAAAAGGTCAGGGCAGGACACTAGCTGCAAGGAGTCGCGGTTCGACATGCGGAGTGGGACCCCTCCCCTGTTCCGACGCAGCTGCACCTGGCCTTCATGTCCCCAAGAGAGGAAAGACATGGCGGCAATACTGGCAGCCCAGGCCAAAACCTGTGTGGGATTAAATCTAATCATGGGGATCTCACGCCAGTTCCTGCAGAATGTGCCTTGCGCCAAAGCACTTCTTATCCAGGTTTACAACAAAGTTCTGGCCGTGATGCTACAGCGTCAACCCCAATAGGCCCCAATATCCAAACTCTGTGCGAAGCGAAGCCTGAGGACCTTTCCAACTGTTACCTGGAATCCTGCGAAGATGCTTCAAGATAACTGCCATGTGTAGTTTTGGCGCTGCGTTCAGCAAGGGTTTGGGTTGCTTCAATACATCCTTTGATGCACGCCAATCATCTTCAGCGGATTTTCAGGGGTACGCTGGGCTGGAAAATATTCGTCGATGGAAGCTGCAAAAGATCCAGAACCAAGGGCCGGCTGATCACATCCCTCTGCCACTTCATTGGGTACTTGGCCAACGAGGAGCTGAATAGTGACTTTTACTGAACTTCTGCAGGGTTCACCAGCCACAGCCGCAAAAGATTGAATGGCATTTACGCTGAACATGGCACGACAGATATATGGGTTTATCCACTCCATCTGGCTCGTGAGGTACCCAGATCATGCGGGATCTATGTCTTTTGGCAGGCAAGTTCGTCAAACACGACAAAGAAGGCGTCCGGCTGAGTTTGCTGGGCCTTAGCCTAGAGGGCATTTTACAGGGACTTGCAAGGGCCTCTCCGGAAAAAGCAACCTTCTTTTTGGGGCAGGCGGTTTAAAAGTTAAAACACCTGTACAGCAATGTGTGGTCGGAGAGAGCTTTCCGGCGGACCGCGCCTCGCTGTGTCTTCATTGCTGCTCTCAGTTACAGTCATTAACTGGGACTCAGCTCTTTTTCTTCGTCTTCATCCTCTTCCTTGTGATTTCTCGGGTTCACAGGACTTGTCGCCTGCTGTGGGCTCGGAAGTTCATCCCCATTCTTGGCCTTAAGCGCACAAACACGCCGTGAGGCGGTGCGCCGGAAATCCTTGAAAGCACAGCTTCCTTGGCAGCCTGCAGTGCCTGAGATGGCTCCGGTGGCTCGGATGGCTCCGAATGGCGTCCAGGCAGGGCTGTCCAGGCAGGGCTGTCCAGGCAGGGCTGTCGGCACGGTCGGCCATGGGCCGCTAGGCAGGTGCAGGTAAAACTGATGGCCTATGCCAAAGCTTCCTGTTGAGCCTGCAAGCCGGATCAAGATCCGGATCGTAATCTTCAAGTCTTCCCTTGGGGAAGGCTGAATATATGGCGAATTATGTGGACGGTCATGCAGCGATGAGCTGTAACTCAGAAATTCAGAAGGAAGGCGCCAAGAACGGAGACCTCTGGGTAAGGCATGTGTCGATGCGGCCAAGTTCTGTCCCTGAAGCGGAGCGTAAGCGTGTTGGACCTGCGCCTCAGTGGAGGCCTGCATACATGGCCTCGGCACAGCCATGTGACGAGCCACTTTTGCACCCACTTTGCACGTTGCACCTTTGCACCTGCTTTCTCTCTACGGCTCTACAAGGACCCGCGGGAGGTGTCCCTCGCAAATGCACCCGACTCTCCCGAGGTCGACGCCACAGCCACTTCCGCAGGCGTTGGGTTGGCCATGCCGTAGGAATATTTCACAAACCTCTCAGCTCTCAGCTCTCCGCTTGTATGAAAAAGTCCCTGCCGCCACAACACTCTGTGCAAATTACCAGACAGCCCCCGGCCACTTCTTCATCATCTCCTTCGAGGAGCAAGGCATGTTGACCTGTTTGAGTGCACAAATCGGGAGATTTCGAATTCCAGACTGTCGCTTTGGTCTAAAGGGAGATGACGGCCCCGAGAACCAAACCAACACACCTTTCAACACACTCACACCCAAGAGTAAAGTGAGCGTGTGGATCTTGGGAGATGACAAGGGTTCCTAGGACTTTCAGTAGGGCGAGGCAAGGTGAAACTTTTTGTTTTTCCCCGCCCCGGGTGTGGGGTAGCTTTTTGCCTGGTTCTTGGCCTGTGTCTCCCATGTCTCCCATCCCCCATCGCCGCGGAGAACTCCGCAAAATCCCGCCGAGTATCCCCGGAGTGCCGACCCCCCAAAGAATCTGCAGAGTCTTCTGCCAAACTGTCTGGTCCGCTGACCCAAGAACGCCAGAGAATCCTGAGCTTGGAAGAGAAAGCAGTGACCCCACACCAACAAGACGCCAATGGAAGGGCGCACTGGGTATGCGCTGAGCCGAATCCCTGAACTGTGAACTTCTTGTGCAGAAAAGAAAGAGTGCCTGACGACATTTCAACACCCAAGCAAGCATTGGCAGCCCTCATGGCTTGCGCAGCGGTGCCTGCTGTGCCCTGAGAGCCGACTGATTGTGTGTGTCTGTGAGTGATCAAAATGTGGGAAACCATGCGGGGGCAAGGTGAAAAAGTCTGGAAAAAGAGCGGTCGGAAGGCGTTTATTAAAAAAATCGGGGGAGCGCCATGAGGGAGCGCCATGAAGAAGTGACAGAAGGCGCGCCTGGTTGACCACGATGTCGAAGGACTTGAAGCAAAGGCCGCGGTTGGCATCGCTCTTGGTGAGATCAAACCTGTCCCCCATCGTCCAAGCACAGCTCTTGTACATGTTCGTGAAGAACCCTTTTTTGAGGCTTTCACACTCACAACGATATTCCGGGAGGGATGAGGCGGGTGCACTGTCGGCATGTTGTTCTGGCGCTCGATCTCTTCGTCGTAGCGGACGTCGGCCTGCCCAGCTTATCAGCTTCCTCTCACTTGACCTGCCCTCAGACGTAGCGCACGCTTCAAAGCTTCAAGCGCTGATTTCCACAATGACGTCGCCCAACTTCTCCATATGTTTTTCATATGTTTTTGGCATTTTGTGTTTTTCTTGTTCTTTACTCGTAGTACTCATACTAGGTAGTGGTAGTGGTAATGGTGGTAGTAGTAGTAGTAGTAGTAGCAGCAGCAGCAGCAGCAGCAGCAGCAGCAGCAGCAGTAGTAGTAGTAGTAGTAGTAGTAGTAGTAGTAGTAGTAGTAGTAGTAGTAGTAGTAGTAGTAGTAGTAGTAGTAGTAGTAGTAGTAGTAGTAGTAGTATAGTAGTAGTAGTAGTAGTAGTAGTAGTAGTAGTAGTAGTAGTAGTAGTAGTAGTAGTAGTAGTAGTAGTAGTAGTAGTAGTAGTAGTAGTAGTAGTAGTAGTAGTAGTAGTAGTAGTAGTAGTAGTAGTAGTAGTAGTAGCAGTAGCAGTAGCAGTAGCAGTAGCAGTAGCAGTACCAGTAGCAGTAGCGGTACCAGTAGCAGTAGGAGTAGCAGTAGGAGTAGGAGTAGGAGTAGGAGTAGGAGTAGGTAGTAGTAGTAGTAGTAGTAGTAGTAGTAGTAGTAGTAGTAGTAGTAGTAGTAGTAGTAGTAGTAGTAGTAGTAGTAGTAGTAGTAGTAGTAGTAGTAGTAGTAGTAGTAGTAGTAGTAGTAGTAGTAGTAGTAGTAGTAGTAGTAGTAGTAGTAGTAGTAGTAGTAGTAGTAGTAGTAGTAGTAGTAGTAGTAGTAGTAGTAGTAGTAGTAGTAGTAGTAGTAGTAGTAGTAGTAGTAGTAGTAGTAGTAGTAGTAGTAGTAGTAGAGTTGTCCTTTATCGTGATGTACAACTTGCGAAGCCCAGCCTTCCTGGCCCTCTACCCCGCATTTTTGCCGCCTTCCCTGTACCCCCCACCAGCCTTCCTGGCCCTCTGTTCCCCCCCTGCCCAGCCACCCCCCAAAAACAGCGCAAAAAAACGCTAAAGTTCTCTTTATCCTGCACGAACCCGACCAGCCTTCCTGGCCCTGCCCAGCCACCCCCCCAAAAAAAACGCTCGAGTTTTTTCTTTATCCTGTTACCCCACAAACCCAACCAACCCAGCCACCCCATGCCCCCATCCCAACCACCCCCCCAAAGTTCTTCTTCATCCTGATTTACAACTTGCGAAAGCTCATTTGGTGGTGCCACCCCCCAAAAAAAACGCTAAAGCTTTTCTTTACCCTGCTGTACAACTTGCGAAGCCCATTTGGGCGCGGCGCCTTCCCTGTACCCCTTCACCCAAACCCTTACACCCCACAAACCCGAGCTCACCCCTCGCCCCTACCCCATCCCCATGCCCCCCTAACCCCCCCCCCCCCCACCCTATGCCTACCCCGCCCCCCCCCGCCCCGATCCCCGTCTCAGCCAGTCACCCCCCAAAAAAAGCTAAAGCTCGCCCTGCAGCACACACTCAGATCATGTCCCGTCACCATAAAACAAATACCACACCCCCACCCAACCAACCCAGCCGGCAGCCCCCCCACACAACAGCTTGACCACCCCACCCAGCAGCCATCGAAGCCCTCCACGAACACACTGAGCTCACCATAGCCACCACGGACACTGTAGCCCAAACAGTGCAAGCATGGTCGTGGCATTTTCTCAAACCCCTACACCCCACGAACCCGACCAGCCTTCCTGGCGCTCTGTTCCACCCAAAAAAAAGGCCAAAGTTGTACAACTTGCGAAGCCCATCCCTTACACCCCACAAACCTGACCAGCCTTCTGGCCCCCCACCCCCCACCACCCCACGCCTACCCCCCCCCTGCCCCCGCCCCTAGCCACCCCATTGCCCCCCCCCCCCAACCCTCCCTCCCCCTATGCCCCCGGCCCAGTCACCCCCCCAACAAAAAAATAAAGTTCTTTGATATCCTTATTTACAACTTGCAAAGCCCATTTTGGCCCTCGGTTCCCCCCAAAAAACGCTAAAGTTGTTCTTTATCCTGACGTACAACTTGCGAAGCCCATCCCTTACACCCCACCCCACAAACCCGACTAGCCTTTCTGGCCCTCTACCTACTAACACCCACCCCTCTGCCCCCCCCATCCCCATGCCCGCCCCCGCCCCCCTCTATGCCCCCGTCCCAGTCACCCCCCCCAAAAAAGCTAAAGTTCTTCTTTATCCTGATTTACAACTTGCGAAGCCAGCCCATTTGGTCGCGGCATTGTTGGCACCAAAAAAACCGCTAAAGTTGTTCTTTATCCTGATGTACAACTTGCGAAGCCCATCCCTTCCACCCCGCAAACCCGACCAGCCTTCCTGGCCCTCTACAGGGCGAACAACCTTCCTGGCCCTCTGTTCCCCCCACAAAAATAATGTTAAAGTTGTCCTCGACCCCCCCCATCCCCATGCCTGCCCCCCCTCCCCCCCCCCCCACCCCATGCCCCCCTCCCTTGCCCGCCCCAATCCCCGCCCAGCCACCCCATGCCCCGTTTCAGGTTCAGTCTTCCCATTTCGTCGCGGCATTTTTGGCGCCTTCCCTGTACCCCTTCAAACCCCTACACCCCACAAACCTGACCACCCCCCGAAAAACACGCTAAAGTTGTTCTTTATTCTGATATACATGCGAAGCCCATCCCTTACACCCCACAAACCCGACCAGCCTTCCTGGCCCTCTACCCGGCTAACACTCACCCAAAAGAAGCTAAAGTTCTTCTTTATCAAGCCCAGTTGCTCGCGGCATTTTTGGCGGCTTCCCTGTACCCCTTCCTTCACTCAAACCCCTACACCCCACGAACCCGACCAGCCTTCCTGGCCCTCTGTTCCCCCCAAAAAAACGCCAAAGTTGTTCTTCATTGTGATGCACAACTTGCAAAGCCCATCCCTTACACCCCACAAACCCACACCCCACAAACCCGACCAGCCTTCCTGGCCCCCCGCCCAGCCACGCCCTCAAAAAAAATGCTCGAGTTCTTCCTTGCTGATTTCCTACTTGCGAAGCTCATTCAGCCCCCGAACCGCTTGTTGCTCCCTGCACCGGTTTTTGTCCACACCATGAGCCCTAAACCCTCGACCCTAAACCCTAGACCCTAGACCCTGAAGCCCCTGCCCTGCTACTCTGTCGCTGAAGTTTTTAAATAATCTTAACCGGTCGGCTTTAATTGAATTGAATTGAATTGAATTGAATTAGTTCTTGATTAATTGTTTGTGAGATCTTGTAAAAGTAAACAAAATGTTTTTTAACATTAATTACAATAAATGAAAATTCATGAAAACTGATTAACACTAATTTCAATTTTCAGGTTTTCCCAGGTCTGCTTGCTTTGCGAAAAGGCTCTATGGTCCGAATCTGGGCTTCAAGGTTAAGGTTTTCCCAGGTCTGCTTGATCTGCAAAAAGGTTCTATGGCCCCGAATCTGGGTTTCAAGTTTAAGGTTTTCCCAGGTGTGCTTGCTCTGCGAAATGGTTTTATAGCCCGAGTCTGGGTTTCAAGTTTAAGGTTTTCCCTGCTTGCTCTGCGAAAAGGCTCTGTGGCCCGAGTCTGGGTTTCAAGTTTTAAGGTTTTCCCAGGTCTGCTTGCTCTGCGAAAAAGGTTCTATGGCCCGAATCTGGGTTTCAAGTTTTCGGGTTTTCCCAGGTCTGCTTGCTCTGCGAAAAAGGCTGTGTGGCCCGAATCTGGGTTTCAAGTTTTAAGGTTTTCCAAGTCTGCTTGCTCTGCGAAAAGGCTCTATGGCCCGAATCTGGGTTTCAAGGTTTAAGGTTTTCCCAGGTTTGCTTGCTCTGCGAAAAAGGCTTTATGGCCCGAATCTGGGTTTCAATATTAAGGTTTTTCAAGTTTTAAGGTTTTCCCAGGTCTGCTTGCTCTGCGAAAAAGTTCTATGGCCCGAATCTGGATTTCTTGCTCTGCGCAAAGGTTCTATGGTCCTATACCCGGGTTTAAAGCACGAAAAGTGTGGAAAGGAGTTGAAAAGGAACGCGAGACCCGTCAGCTCCCTACAAAAACTGTGGGTCTTGACGCAAAAAGGGACGCGAAGGAACCCTCCAAGTGGAAATCCCAATAGTGGGGAAGGCGTTCCTTTCTTCTTTCTGTTTTACATATCAGTTATGGTTCTAACATGAATAAACACACGTTCTCTAACACATTGAAAACACGTTTAGTTCAAAGAGCTCATACCTCGCCGCCTCCGTCTGTTTCACTTTTGACACGGCCTTTTCGCACGGAGAAGCGTGGAGGCTCGTTATGAGACTATTTTTAGCTCTTAGAGGTATACTATACCTCCACTCTGTCTGTTTTAGGGTGCAATGGTAGAGGTATACCTAATACGCTTTCTAGAGTTTAAGGTATTCCCAGGTCTGCTTGCTCTGCGAAAAGGTTCTATGGCCCGAATCTGGGTTTCAAGTTTAAGGTTTTCCCAGGTCTGCTTGCTCTGCGAAAAGGCTCTATGGCCCGAATCTGGGTTTCAAGATTAAGGTTTTCCCAGGTCTGCTTGCTCTGCAAAAGGCTCAGTGGCCCGAATCTGGGTTTCAAGTTTAAGGTTTTGCCAGGTCTGCTTGCTCTGCGAAAAGGTTCTATGGCCCGAATCTGGGTTTCAAGTTTCAAGGTTTTCCCAGGTCTGCTTGCTCTGCGAAAAAGTTCTATGGCCCGAATCTGGATTTCAAATTTCAGGCTTTCTGCTTGCTCTGCGCAAAGGTTCTATGGTCCTATACCCGGGTTTAAAGCACGAAAAGTGTGGAAAGGAGTAGAAAAGGAACGCGAGACCCGTCAGTTCCCACAAAAACTGTGGGTCTTGACACCAACCCAAGCCGAAAAAGGGACGTGAAGGAACCGTCAAGTGGAAATCCCCATAGTGGGGAAGGCGTTCCATTTTTCCCGCTGTGGGAGAATAGTATTATTATTCTCCAACAACAGGAAACAAGGAATGCCCAAACTAACCTAAATGCTGCGTAAATGCTCGAAGCGTCTTGGGCTACTAATGGGCTCCAGTTCTTTCTTTCTGTCTTACATATCAGTTATGGTTCTAACACGCTAATAAAAACACGCTCTCCAACACATAAAAAAATGGTAGAGGTATACGGTGTCCTAATACGCTTTCTAGGGTGTAAGGTATTCCCAGGTCTGCTTGCTCTGCGAAAAGGCTCAGTGGCCCGAATCTGGGTTTCAAATTAAAGGTTTCCCAGGTCAGCTTGCTATGCGAAAAGGTTCTATGGCCGGAATGTGGGTTTCAAGTTTAAGGTTTTCCCAGGTCTGCTTGCTCTGCGAAAAGGCTCTGTGGCCCGAATCTGGGTTTCAAGTTCAAGGTTTTCCCAGGTCTGCTTGCTCCGCGAAAAAGGCTGTATGGCCCGAATCTGGGTTTCAAATTAAAGGTTTTCCCAGGTCTGCTTGCTCTGCGAAAAGGTTCTATGGCCGGAATCTGGGTTTCAAATTTAAGGTTTTCCCAGGTCTGCTTGCTCGGCGAAAAGGCTCTATGGCCCGAATCTGGGTTTCAAGTTTAAGGTTTTCCCAGGTCTGCTTGCTTTGCGAAAGGGTTCTGTGGCCGGGTTTCAAGTTTAAGGTTTTCCCAGGTCTGCTTGCTCTGCGAAAAGGCGCTGTGGCCCGAATCTGGGTTTCAAGATTAAGGTCTTCCCAGGTCTGCTCTGCGAAATGGCTCTATGGCCCGAATCTGGATTTCAAGTTTAAGGTTTTCCCAGGTCTGCTTGCTTTGCGAAAACGGCTCTATGGCCCGAATCTGGGTTTCAAGCTTTTCGCTTTCTGCTTTGTGCTTTTTGAGTTTTGGTTTTTGCTTTTCGCTTTTTCGTTTGCTTCTGCTTTTGTTTTTGCTTTCTGCTTTTGCCTTTGCTTTCCGCTTTTTGTTTTTTGTCGCTTTTCTTGTTTTGCCTTTGCTTTTGCTTTTGCGCTTTGTTTTTATCTTTTTTGCTTTTCGCCGTGTTCTTCTACTTCTGCTTTTTGCTTTCGCTTTTGCTTTGAGCCTTTTGCTGCTCTCTCTTTTCTTTTCTGTTTTTGTTGCTCTTCTTTTTTTCTGCCCATTGCTTTCTGCTTTATTGCTTTCGTTCTGCTTACCTTCGATTCCATGTGAAGCCTCTGCATCATTCCATCATGTCGAAATTGCAAAATGAGTATTTTGATAGCTAATTGACCTGCAGCTTCTTGTACAAAAGCCCTGCGAGCCATTTTTCGCAGAGCAAGCAGACCTGGGAAAACCTTAAACTTGAATTCCAGATTCGGGCCATAGAGCCTTTTCGCAGAGCAAGAAGTGCTGGGAAAACCTTAAACTTGAAACCCAGATTCGGGCCACTGAGTCTTTTGCAGAGCAAGCAGAACTGGAACCAAAAGCAAAAGCAAAAGCAAAAGCAAAAGCAACAGCAAAACAAGACATGAAAAGCAAAAAGCGGAAAGCAATCACAAACAAGACGAATGACAAAAAGGCAAAAGCAAAAGGCAAAGGCAAAAGCCGAGCAGCCCAACGCTAAAACAAGAGTCCCCCAATACCCTCGCCGCCTTAAAAGAAGGGAGCCGCGAAAAATCAGATTGCGCAGAATTGCAGAATGAACTGCCAGCGTGAGCAATGCAGGTTTCTAGCCCGCTGCCTGTGCGGCCAGGTGCGCCTGCGCAGCCGCCGAGGGGCGGCTGGGGGGCGGGCCGAAGGTGAAATCCTGGAATGGGGAGAGGCTCCGCGTTGCTGCGCTAGTGCAACCAAGAGAGATGCCTACTGTGAGGCCAACTGAAGTTGCGGCAGAGTCAGTTGTTCCAAGTTCTGCTTGCTTGCTTACTTGCAGATTGAAGCAGTCCTGCAAGAAGCGTCGCAGACCAGCATTCGACATCAGAGGCCGGCCCTTCTTGTCGCGCGAGGTGCTGTACTGTGAAAAAAGCTCCTGGCAAGAGATGGCAACAGAGAGGGGGAGAGAGGCTCACCTCGTTAAGGGGCGCAGAGATGCGCAGAGCATGGGAGTCTCGCTTGGGAGTGGCCCCTCTCTCCCTCCCCCTCTCCTGCAGGAACTCTGAGAGGTCATTGTCGGTGACGGCGGACTCCGGCTCGGAGTCCGAGTCCTCCAACCGCCATTGACGACACGTCATATAACAGTAATAACAGCGAGGGAGCCGCGGGAGCTGCTCTGCTCTTGCTTTGGCTCTGTGTGCTCCTTGGAGCCTGGCGAGTCCCGCCCGGGCTCCTGCATCCGGAGGAAAACTGGACCCTTTTTCGCAAGAGAAAGATCATACACACATGGGTCGCCGAGTCTAGTAGGTCCAGTAGTCTTTCCATGAGCTTGCGTTTTTTTTGTGACAGCCGTGCAGTTCAACCCAAGGTCTGATCCATAGTCAGGTTACTGCACTTCACACACAACATTTTTTGTGACAGCCTGTTTCGAACGACGCCCGCATCGCCCACTCCCTCTACAAGCTCTACTGGCTGTGAACCTGCCCCGAAGAACATTGAGCTTTGGGGATTCAACAGCTGAAGACCGAGTGCTCACGGAGCTCACGGACGCAGACACTCTCAGGGTAAAGCTCTCAACAACACTCTACGAGACCCTTCTGGGGGGGTCGTTGCCCCAAGAAAGAACAGAACCGTTGGCTTGCTTTTCAAAGCGCTCTTTCAAAGGGGGGCTTTCTACAAGTCTACACAGCAGTTAAATACTCACAATACAAGTATAATCGACCCGACAGCAGCAAAACAACAAACCAATCGCGCTGTAGGCTTCCACGAGACACTGCTCCAAGAGACAGAATCAGAACAACAGTCACACATCGAGGACAGAAGTCGAGCACGCTTGCATCAGCATACAGTGCCTGAAAGAACTGAAGAACTCCGTTGCGCACACCACATCCAGTCTCACAGGCAAGGCCTCGTGCCCCTCTCTTGGTGTGATGGTGGGGGGGATCCGGGGCCTGTAGCTTCACAACAAAACAGGCCTTGCGCCCTCCCTTATGGAATAAGGGATTGTAAATGATGATGTGTGGTTCTGCTTGCCGTCTGAGAGTTGGGCAAGGGGACAAAGACGACCAAGCAGGACTTCTTGCCGGGTTTGCTCTGTCGCGCCAGGGTTTTTGCTGCTTGGTGGGCTGTGCGCCTATGACCTCAGACCTGGGGCCGAACCCTGCAAGGAGTTGTTTTCCACCGCCTTGCCAGTCATTTGTCCAGCGACGAACATGTACTTTTCGGCTTTTGGAGGCTTGAACTGCCTCAGGGCCCCCGAGACATCCTCGCCATGGACCCCATGGAAGCGCAGGTGCAGGGTGCAGTTTGAGAGAGGAGTAAAGCCCTTCCACAATGAAAGTCCTAAAGTCTGAATTTTCACAAGCAACAGTACAAGTCTTAATTCCTGCCTTTGTTCTGGCATCGCGCCCCATCGGAAGTGACTCCTCGACTTTCTTGTCCCCCTGGAGGCAAAAAAGGCGCAGCAAGAAGATTTAGACTTTCGAGGCCTTCGGGGGCCCCGTCTGGCCTCTGCACCACGGGCCATCGCTGCTCCCTTGCTGCTCTTCCTTGAGCTCCGGCGCCTGCCGGCCTTACCTGAGACAGCTCACAGCAACAGGAAAGCGGGCAAGAGATATTCAGTGACAATATACCGATCGCGCAAGCACAAAGTGTGGAGGTGCTTGCGGCGCCCTCTTCTTGTTGCGGGGGTGCCTGCGGCGGCTGCCGATGCCTGTCGACTGCGCAGCTCCTGGCATCGCAATGAGGCAGAAGGGCAGAAGGGAGCTCTCCGAGCTCTCCGAGCTCTCCATACTCAACGAAGAGGAGGAGCCTCGGCTTCCGTGTCCTTCCTCGAGGGCCTCCTCTTCGGAGCCTCTTTGGAACCATCCGAGCGCTTTGAGCGGCCCGGGCTCGGACGCTCCGGATGCTGGGGAGCCTCTGGAGGCTCCAGAGGCTCCAAAGGCTCCAGTGGCTCAGGCTCTGGGGGCTCTAAAGGGTCCAAGTCCAAGCCTGCCATACCCTCGCGCGAGGGCGGCCTCTCCAGTCGCTCGAGGCCTTGCCTTGAGACCCTGGAGCCCTCCGAGTTGCGGGAAGCGCCCGGAGCGCCCGGAGCGCCCGGAGCGCCCGCTCCGTCGCTCTCGCCTGTTGCAAGCGTCCCGCCCTTTCCCTTTCTGCGCTCGGCGCCGTGCGGCTCCGCGCCGTGCGGCTCTGCGCCGTGTGGCTCTGTGTGCATCGCCCTCTGCGCCGCTGGGTCTTGGACAGCCGCCTCGGGAGCTCGAGAAGTGCTCTGCGCAGTGCTCTCGTCTCCAGCTCCTTCTCCTCCTTCTCCTGAGAGCATCCTCCTGTCAAAGTGCACATGCGAGAGATACTTCTGGAGTGGGTGTGGAAGGGTATGGAAGGGTCCACAAGAACCAGGAGC